CGTGTGAGGTCCGTTTGTTTGGTTTGTCTCAAGAGTTTACACGTCACTCGACCATATGTGTATAGGGGTGGCAATGGGGTGGGGGATCCTTCCCCCGTCCCGTTGTTAAATAACTTCCCCCATCCCCCGCCCTTTGCCCCCTACCCCCCGCTTCGCCCCCGCCCTGTGTCCCCCGCAGTCCCCCGCAGGGAAAGAAATCGAAGTGGAAGACTTCATCTATCAAAGTGCCTTCAGACACTTTGTAGTTAAGGGGAGACTTGTTTGCGATGCTTCCTTTACTCGTCGGAGGCTCTCTTGCCAGATCAGTGGCTAATGGAGCAGAGACGGTAGTGCCCAGGCTGGGAGCAGGAGCGTGAGTTGCGGTCGATCTGAACTCTGGAGGTGAGATATAGTCCGTCAAGAAATATGGTGACCTCTGTTTATGTGTCTCAAAGTTTGTTGCTTTTGATCCAATTGTTGAGGGCCAGCTTCCCGGCGAGATCGCTGCCTTGGAGCGGCTAGACACCAACGATCTGGATATGTTGCGAGAGTGGAGGTTTGCGTTGGTGGTGGAAACGATGTGCTGATGTGCTGCCAGGCAGTGCGGACAGCAGCCGTGCAGCTAAGGGAGGAGGAGATGATGGCAACGGGTTGAACTCAGATTCAGAAGAAACCGTGATCCAGAAGAAACCGTGATCTACTGCCCAGACTGGTTTGCAGGTATATTTTTAAACCAATAGAAGAAGATAGATGCAAGTCCCACACAAAGAAGAAAGGAAGAAAAAGGAGCCGACGGTGGATGGCCTGACCTACAGCTCGAAGAAAAATTTGGGATTGTTGTGTATATATATATATATATATTTTAATGTACGCGGGGACGGGGCGGGAATGGGGCGGATGTATGTTGCCCCGTCCCCCGCCCCATTTTAAGACGGGGGATATATTTTGCCCCCGCCCAATTTTTATCCCTGCAGGCACCCGCACCCGTTGCCATCCCTATTTGTGTACATGGGCATCCTCAAAATTGGATGGTGTATGTCACACACTAAGTGTTTTAATCTTTCATTCACTACTAGTGAGTTAAATAACCACCAGCAGCTTGGGCTGGCAGCGACTGCCAAAGACTTCAAAGTTTTGGTCATCATTCGTCACAGTAGGTTGTTTCCTCAAATTCGTATATGTTGGGGCTCACATCATTTATTTGGTTCGATGGTGATTCAAACATCATGATCTTTCCTATAGATTCAGTTGAGCCTCCTCTGAATTAAGTTAGAGTAGTAGTAGAGTAAATAAATGACGAATTACCAAAAAAAAAACCAGTGAGTTAAATGTTTGGGCCCACATTTTTCTACTAATAAAATAACTTTCATTGGATATATAAGTGCAAAGATTGAAATTGGATGAGAAATACATTTCCATTTTGGATAAGTGACAATAGATTTGATACAAATTAAAAAGAAAAGTATGACACTTTCAATAGGACAGACGAGTAATATATCGATGAATATGTAAAAATTGGCATCTCTAAGCATTGAATCAATGATTATAATTCAGGAGTTAGTATTATGCAAGTTTGGATGAACAAATGAATTTTGATGCAGATGCTGATCATACATACAGGGCAAGAACAACGTGCAAATCAGATGATTCGGGTAAAGAATATGTACAAACAAGGCAATCAATCTGAAAACTAGTAGCGAGCAATACGAGGGTCAAGGTCCATCTGCTTCCTTGTTTTCCCAGGAAATAGATCCTTGGATATGATCAAACAAGGAAGAAGACCAATCAATGTTGTGAATGGAAATCGAGCCACTGCATCATGCCTTCCAAGTGAGACAATAACCTTCCCATCCGTTCCCAGTTTTCGTTCATCCTCCTTGTATAAAATGACTCAAAATAGATTAGGTTTCATGCACTAAAAAAACTCAGATTAATAATATCATTGCCAACTGTTGGATTCAAGATGGAGAAGGCTTCAATCAAGTCCGGTCTCTTTGTTGCTCTCTTTGTTCTTCCAATCTGTTAGTCTCTCCCTTTCTCTGTTGATCTTCTCATCTACACTGACAATCATCGCTTGCTTTCCTCTCAGAAAAAGTCATTTATTTATTTATTTATTTATTTTGCAGTATCATCACTGCCAATGATGAAAGGGATGGAGGCCAATCTGACGACACAAAGTTTCAAGCTCTGGACACAAATTTAGGTCTACTAAGACACAAAATACTAATCCAAGAATTAGACCTAAAAAACCAAAATTCCGTAGCAAAGCTGCTCATAGAGCATTGTTTTTAAGCTCAAAATTGATTGTTCCTCCGTTTTCTTTCTCTTGTCCCTTTATTCATGTTAGTTTCAGCCAAAATTAGAGCAGAACAGCTTTTATATAAAAGATGAGAAGAAATTGAAGAAATATGAAACTTACAATTCACTGGTCAGTCCAAGAATTGATGAAGCTTCTCTATAAAGAACGGTGACTGGTGGAATTATTGAAGACTTGAAGTTGCAAAAAGTTTTGGGATGGAGCCTTAGATATAAGCTCCATTCCGGTTCCAAGAATTTCTTTATGGAAGACAGAACTTTTTTATTATTGGCCTTTCCATGCAAAGTGATTTCCTCTATTTCCGGCCAATTTTTCCATGCTCCGGTTCCAAGAATTTCCGCTGCATTCAATCAAGCACATTGAATTTAAATTCTATTTTTTTTCAAACTTTGGCAGGAGCAAGGATTTCGTTGCATGTAAATCTAGATACATACTCGTTGCGATATTTTGTTATTGCTTGCTACGAATTCTGGTCATAGTTGATTGTAGAATCATTTCTTGTGGGAACTAATTATTTACATTACATACTATCAACTCCTTAATTTAGGTTAACTTAGCACAATTGCAGATGCAAACCGAGAAATAAGCCGCTAGCACTAATTGAAGTCCACAACTAAAATCTCACGGGTAAGATCTAAGCCATCAAAGTCTCACCCAAACTCTTTTCTTTCCCTTCTCTCTAGAACTCTTTCAATCAAGATTTTTTCCATCTCTCCAATGAAAGAGAGACCAAATTTGGTCTTTCCCCATGAGAGGAAGTACTTTTTATAGTTTTTAGTTTTTCTTATATGAATAAATTCTTTCCTAGGATTTTCTAATGAGATAATTCTTCTCTCCTAGGATCTCCTAGTGAGAGTTTTATTTTCTTTTGGATTTTTCATTGTAAGAGTTTTTTAGGGTTTTATCTTTGTAAAATTTGAGATTCTGTAAATCTAAAATCTACTTTCTCATATATACAATTTCTCCATTATTATCATCTCTAAATTTCTCTTTGGACTTGAATTAGTTTTAAACAGATCTAATTATCAGCAAACATGCACTGATGTATTAAGCTACAATAACTCATCCGAATAGAAGATATATGGGAGCATCAATGTTATCTTTATTTGTATTGTTTTCTTAGATCTGCTATATCTATTGATTTCAGATATATATATATATATATATATATATATATATATATCTATGTCATGTTTATTTGATGTATTTTCTACCATTAGTACAAATTTGTTTGAATGAAATGATCTTTTCTATCAAAAAAGAAAAAGGTCTCACATTTACCGACTTGTATATGCTCGTTTTTTGAAATCAAGTGGTAAAATCTTTTATTATATATATGGTTTTATACGAAGACAAATAGTAAACCGTTATACATCTTTGCTAGACTAGCACGGAAAGGGTATGAATCTCTTGCCACTCTTTACCCCTAGCCTACCTTATTTTCCTCTATACTAAAAGGATGTACTTTAAGGTTTTGATTTCCATTTCAAGCTGTGCTAGTGTGACACAAATTTACAATTTTGAAACTTATAAATGGTCCACGGCTAAGATTTAAGGCATTAAAGCCTAATACTATGTATAGCATGATTTGTCTCGTATCTTGAAATCAAGTGATAATAATTAGGATAAATTACATTTTACCCCCCTATAATTTAGCATTTTTACATAACTCCCCTATGATTTCAAAAGTTATACATAACCCCTTCATGGTTTGGATTAAAGTGTCAAAGTGACGGAAATAGTTACTCGTAATAGAACTTCTAAAAATGTCGAAATTATATGTAAAAAAAATGTTAAACCATGAGGGGGTAAAGTGAAATTTACCCTAATAATTATATGATTCTATTTAAAAAGTTATGTAAACAGACGGTATGAATTTAGAACACTCAAGCACATTGATGGGAGGCAAGATTTGAACCCTTGACCTCCCACCCCACTATATACAGTGGTGGCCAACTCCTCTATTGGGAGTTGGTTTGTCCTTTATATGTACAATGATGAAAATGAACAAGCTTCAGACGGTTAATGATCATCACAAAGTTGTAACGTCCTCAAAGGGATAATACAAGTCTGGGAGAATGCAAAAGCTTCAACCATTAAAAATAAAATGCTTCAGATGACAATCTGTTTCTCTTTTAAGGAGCTTTACTCCAACATAGCAGGAGCTTTACTCCAACATAGCTCCTAATGGAGATCATCAGAGAGTTGAGGCATCTTCAAAGGGTTAACATTTTTGGTAAAAGAAATTTCCTGCCACTCTACTTCATAAAACAGACTGCGAAAAATTATCAGAATGTTACCTTACAGTACTGCTTCAATTATGACCGGCCAACAAATCAAATTATTAAGTATGTACATCGGCCAGGAAAGGTGTCATTTGGTAACCAGAGGAATGAAAAAAGAAAGTGCTTAAAATCATTTTGAGTTCCAAAATGCTGATAATCTTTTGATGGTTCAAAGAAGAAGATCAAGTCCACAGCTTTAATCTCTTTCAATCTGTGAAATTACGCTTTCTTAATGACAACAATTAGCTTATAAATTGAAAGGAAACCAATATTTACAGAAAGGAATAGAGAAATCAATGTCCACTGAGAACAAATTTAGTGAACTAATGAGATTAAAAGAAGGGACCAAGAAAAGCGAATACATTAGAGAGAACAAAGCAGAGGTGAAAATCTTACAGGACGACTTAGAAAGATGAATGTTAATCAATATCAAGCTCCATGTGTGAAATCTTTGACCACTCTGAGTCGTCCCCACTTTCAAAATTGCACCTATCGATTAACAGAGAACAATCAATAATCCGCAGATATGTTAATTTAGTGAGGCGTCTCATGGCAGCCATGGAGGGCAAATATTGAAGCTCTTCGCAACTCTCTAATACTAGTCTTTCAAGAGACGCAAGGTTCCCAATCCAATGTGGTAATGCTTTAATTCTTCCAAAGTCGAATAGAGATAGTGACGTGAGAGTAGTCAAGTATTGGAGCTGATGTGGAAGAGACTCCATATCAGACATCCCATTTAACTCAAGCTCACAGAGTGTTGATGATGATAGTAATCCAGACCAATCAACCAAGGAGTAATCTGAGAAGGGCCCGATCATCATTGTCGTTAAGCAAGTAAGAAAGGCAAATCCTTTGGGCATATCATTGATCAATTCGGGGCAATTGGTTAAGATGCAGGTCTCGAGAGAAGGCGTCTGTTGCAAATCAAGTGGAAAGGAGACCAGATTGGGACATTCATACACCTGAAGGCTCTGAAGAGGTGAACAGGACTCTAGCATTTCACTGGCTATAGTGGTCAACCCATCACAATCAGAAATTGTCAAACTCTTGAGAGACTTGAGGAGGCTTTTCTGTCCATCGTTCCGATTTTCTCCAAGATCAATTAGGGGGCATACCCGTATAGACAAATCACGAAAGGCCTGGAACTTATACAGATTTTCCGGCAACTCCCTCAAATTATCACAGTCAAACAATTTTAAACTCTCAAGACAGGTGCCGCAATTTAATCTTCTTAGACTCGTCACATTGGGGCAATACGACACTTGTAGATGTTGAAGACTTGGAAAATGACACAGTCGCTCGACCATTTCACTCGGTAGAAGCTCACAACCATCTCCTAGAGTCAAAGAACTCCCTTGGTGGCTACCATCTTCTGAATTCAAAGGTCTTTTCACCAAATGGAGAGATTCTATTTGTTGATGAGCTTCAGAATTATGTCGCGAAGACATACTTCCATCTAGTTTGAGTGACGAGAGAGTGGTTCTATTGTTTAAAACCTTTTCTGCCAGAGAAGAGTGGCAATAGAATCTGATTTCGAGCTCCTCAAGAGTTGGAAAATGACTAGGAGTTGGAGCAGTGGTCAGTTGGGAGCAACCACTGATAGACAACCTCTTCAGCACAGGACAGGAAATGCAGCTACATCTTCATCCGTTGTTGATCTCACTTCGTCTGGGTCCCTCCACTCAACCAAATTCACCATATCTTCTAGAGTGAGGCTTTTAAGGGCTGGAAAGAATTTGCATTCACTAGTGCTCCCTCTTCCATCCTGCTTATCAAAAATACCATAGAATGAAAGGCCAATGCATGTTAAGTTTTCCAATTTACTCAAAGAAAGAAGTTGGAGGAATGGTAGTTCTCCTAGCCCAGCAGGGAGTTCTCTGCATCTGTTGCAACCTTTTAACTCCAGGGACACTAATTTCGACAAATTCATAAACCATTGCGGAAATTGGTAACCCATAAAATCTTGAATTTCTGACATTTGTAAATAATAGTGAGGTTGGAGACCTTCCAACACAGCTCCATCGCCGTTATCACTCTCCCGATCCCCACTTCCCTACTCGAATACCAACCTAGACAGATTTGACTTTTCAATTAATTTTGCTAGTGCAGCTCCTTCTTTACTCTTTACTAACTTAAGATTTCTTATCACCAACGATCCTTTGAGATCTTTCAAGGTTCCAAGCTCTTCAACACCACGACCCTTCTCTTCTCCTATGTTAAAGAACTCTAATGTTTGAAGGCTAGTCAATCGTCCCAGTTTGATCGGCATTTGGAGTTCTGCATCACTATGATAATAGTGAAGATGTCTCAAGCTAATCAAATTGCTTGTGCCCTCTGGAAGACCTTCATGAAGTTTTTCACCATTGATCCTCAGTGTTTGCAAGTTGTAAAGCTTGCAAAGAGATTCTGGCAAAGTTGTAATACCAGAATCTGATATATCAAGAAACCGTAAATGTAACAGGCTGCCAATGGAGTTTGGCAGCACATTGACATCTGGTCCAGCCAATTTCAGAACATGCAAGTACTCCATCTTTGATAACATGTTATCAGATATGCCATTCTCTAGAAATAATGTGCGAAGTGAGGTTGGAATTTTCTCTGTGATATTTTTTGCCTTTGCTTCAGATGAGTACAATGCAAGGTAGCGGTACTGATTGCTGCTTTTAGGATTCAAGATTGATTTTGCAAAATCATGCACAAGATCATGCATTTTATAATATGTTCTCTCCTCTTCTTCTACTTTTTCCAACAAGGAAGCCTGCAGCAAAATTCTCAAATAGTCACTCCCTATTTCCTCCATCACACTTCCATTTTGGTGGCCTGGTTGAAGAAAGCCTTCCGCTATCCAAAGCTCAGTTAATAGATCTTGTTCCAATTCAGTATCCTGGGGGAAGATCGAGCAGCATGCAAAACATTTCTTGGCTGATACAGGTGACAAATGATCAATACTCACCTTAAGTATTTGCTCGATCTCACCTTGATCTCCATCCAAGAGTCTCCTCCACAATAGACAGCCACTTTTCCTTTCCCTTGTTACGTAACATACCTTCAATTAAACTTGCTGCTAGTGGTAGACCATCACATCTTCTAAGAATTTTCTCCTTTAATGCTTCCAATTCCTTTGGTACTCCTTCCCCTCTAATTGCCTTTTCTTTCAGAATAGACCAACACTCATCGTCGGCTAGCCTTCCCAAGATATATGGACCATCATTCATCTTCATATGTATAGACATTGCATCAGCTACTGGGTCCAGACAAGTAGTAACAAGACACCAGCTTCCTTTGGTTGGATTGAGTCCCTCCAAAGTGGTGAAAAAGTCATTCCACAATCCTTCTTCATGATTCCACACATCATCAAGAACAAGGAGATGTCGTTTTCTCGCAATTTCTCCTCAAATTTCTTGAACAATAGCATCCCCACCATCCACTTCAACTTTTTTTCTTGTCAATGATTCCAAAACGAATTTGAACAGCTCCATTAATTCAATTTCTTTAGCCAGGCAAATCCAAATCTTCTTGCCAAAATGCTCATCAATTCGCGGATTATTGTACACTGATTTAGCGAGAGTTGTTTTTCCCAACCCTCCCATGCCTGTTATAGGAACAACAGAAATAACTTTATCAGAGGGGCTCAACATCATGTCCACTATCTTTGATTCATCGCTGGCTCTTCCCACAACATTTGGAACAAGAATAGAGTCAGCCTGTCGGCTTGTGGTGGCTCCATCGGCAGCTGGGAGTGCGGCTTCAATTTGGTACTTCACAACCAATCCCAACTCGTTGGCTTTACCGTTGATCCTGTCTAGGTTGGTGTTGATGTCCCTGATTTTTGAAGCCAATCTGGAACGAAAAACGATTGTGCTAAAGCAGGAGAATGAGAAGAAGAAGCATACCTTCCTCTTCTTGACTTGACCACGATACTTCACCTCCTGACGGAGATTTTCATAATTGACCTCATCCAGCACATATTCTGCTTTAAAAACCTCTCCCTCGAGCTGCTTGAGCCAATCTTGGACCCCTGGGCTATGCATTTTCCCGTCAGCATCAGCCAAGAAACCTTGGATCGTTTCAGCAGTCGCGCTTATCCTCTCCAACTCCTTTTTGACCCCAAGAATCATACGGATACGATCAGCCGCAAGGGAAACAGCAGTCCCCAGAACGAAATTGATAGTTGTATTAATAGCAGCATCAGCCATTTTTTCTTGCTTCGAATTGGAATTAGGAGCAAAAGTTTTCTGTTCTCAGAGAAGGAAGGAAGGATTGATTCAGCAGCAAATAGCGTAAACTCTGTGTAGTATAGAAGCAATGATAAATTTTTCTTTGATCCATGGTGGCGGCCCTTAAAAATTTGAAATTAGCAATAAAAAGTTCTCTTTGTCCGAATCAGACAACAAAAGTATGGCCTAGTAAAGACTAAATCGTAGTAGCAGGCAAGCCTTGTTTTAAATATTTGCCTGGTAAGAAAACCACATAAAAGTGTTATTAATCAGTTAATTCTTTTTTAATCTCGTCAGTTTAATTTAATAATTTGGTCACATATCATATCATGATCATCATTAGTTGGCATTATTGGGACAGACAAGTTAAGGGCAAGTTCTTTCCGCTTTGTTTCTTCCTCCATAATATGATTAAGATTTAATTTAATTTGTGAAGGTTAATTTTTTATTATGGCAAGTTAAGGAGAAGAAAATTTTGATTATTAATCCATTATTCCAAAACTATTTTTACAATTGTTACTTTGTACATGCAGGAACTATTTTACTTCTTAACAATGATATTGACTCAAACTTTTCCATACACTAGTGTAAAAACAATGTGGTGCTTACCCAAAAAAAAAAAAGAGTTATAAATAAATAAAAATCGCTGACGAATCAAAGCATTTGAACTTGTTTTGGCCCCTACAGAAATTTCAGCTAAATACTTCTTACCCACCAGATTAGAAATCAATTGTCCACCTGCAGTGAATTTGTATTTTTTTTGTGTGTCATAACCAGTAATCATCACGAAAATAGCAAAGCTGAAAATGCTAAAACTTTTAGGGTTCGCTGTTTTTTTTTTCCTCTATCTGTTTGAGAAGAATGGTTTACTTTTTTTTATTTTCCACTGAAAGTTTCAATCAGGCTCCTCTATTTTGAGCCAATGAATGTGGCTGCCTTTGGTAATCTAATGCCAATAAAATGGAGTGTTTTTTTGGAAGGAATACAAATCAAACATGGAGTCATTTTTTAGAACTTTGGTTTCAACCTTCCCCGGGAAAATTTTACATAGAGTGATTAACATAGTTTTCTGAAAAAGAACTTTATTTTAATTTCAATCAATTAACTTATTCTTTGACTCCTTGCTCATGAGGGGTAGGAAAATCCAGTGTCAGTAGAACCACTCTAATTTTTATCATTATTATTTTTTTAACTTCTCTTTGGATAATGGGCTGATCATGACACTATTGAAATCAATCAGCTTCTTATTCTTTTTTTTTGTTCATAACTGGGCTTATTTCGATGGATTTGTAAGGCGTCACACTCTTGGATGGGGACTGAGGGACCAATTGATCACAAGTTTTGAAATGTTTAATTTATTGAATTAATTTGTTACATACCGATATCATATACACTTTTATCATTAGATATATGATGCATAATCTAAATTTAAATGTGAAATTCAAATTTTACATATATGTCATGTATCTAATGTGATAGTGTATACACTGTAAGTACAGTATATATAAAAGGGTTATTATCACTTTACCTCCTTAACTATATTACTACTACCAGTTTACCCCTAACGTTATCTTTTAGTCACTTTACCTCCATAAGTAATTTAACTCAATACATTAAGAAATTTTGGACAAAAATACCCTCTTATTTTATAGCATTACTACATTATTATTATCACTTTATTCGTTTAGATTATAGCGATACAATCACTTTAGTTCCTAACATTATTTTCTAGGCATTTTACCTCATCGTTAATCTAACTATTATGGTTAAAAAATTTTAAATATATTTACCCTTTTTTATATATTATTAAAAATAAAAAAGTTGAAATGGTTATTCTTCCTTTTTTTCACTTTAAAAGATCAAAAAACATAAAAATAAAAGGGATTTCTCAAATTTCTTTTTTTCACACTTATTAATACTCGAAAAAGAAAAAGAGATGGGAAAGAAGGAGACAGAAAATTAGATTTTGCAAAAAAAGAAAATAAAGAAAAGTATAACATTATCGTATTACTTTAAGGTTGTCGAAATTAGGATTGGAATTTGGTAGTAAACAGAAACATGAAATAATTTTAAAATAATAAAAGTATTCAATTCTTTCTTTTTTGTAATTTTTAAAAAAAGAATTGAGCTCTCTCTCTCCCTCTCCCCTCCCCCCTCTCCCTCTTTCTATTTTTTTTTTCAATATTAATAAGATTGTCAAGAAAAAAGAAATGAATTCTTTGACTTTTTTTCTTGATACTAAAAAGGAGAGTGGCGGAGCTAGGAATTAACTTTGGGGGGAGCGAGTCTATAGCAATGAAAATAAAATATATTTATAAAAAAAAATAATGTGAACATATATACCACAAGATTAGAAACAACCTTATATAGAATGAAAATTATTTATACGTTTCACATAAACAAAAATATCATCATATTTACAAATCTATTTGACTGTGTGGGACATATGAAATTGTGCACGATGACTTTTAATTTTATCAAAGTCATCAATGATTGAATTTATATAAAAAGTTCTAGCAATTTCTTTCTCAATATACATTATCATAGAGTTAGCAAGAAAGTCTTCCTCCATCCTAGAACGCAAACAAGTCTAGATAATTTTCATAGCAGAAAATGCATGCTCTGTTGTAGCTGTTCAAACAGAAAGAGTCAAAATAAGATGAACCAATCTATCAATAAGAGTATAGCACATTGACTTTCTTGTCTTTGCTAACACTTGGCACAACTCTTGAAGTGATGACAAATTTTGAAGCTGAGAATTACAGGAAAACTCAATCTGGAAAAGCTCTAATTGAGTTCTTAAGTGTAACTTCTCTTGATCTGTGAAGTCAGCTGAATAAAACTTGTTTGCAAGTTGACAAATTTGTTCAATATTGAAAGCCTGAAAACTATCTTTAGGGTGCAATGCTGAACTAAGAATAAGCAACTCTATTATATCTTCCTTAAACCTATTCTTCATTTCAAGTATTTGAGAATCAACCGTTGCCAAAAACACATCAATCCTGTAGTGATGCTACATGGTAATTGGATCATTTTGTTTTCGAATTCTTCCTCGACTTGCTTTATAAATGACATTCATATCAGGCATCTCTATATTTCGTGCATCACAAAATGTCTTTACATTGGTGAACAATTCATTCCATCCATTATCTCTGTAACATTGAAGTCGATCCTTTGTTACTGAAACCAATTTAAGGGCATTCAAAATATCTTGAGATTTGCATTGTAAAGCTTGAGAAAGTACTTGTGCAAATCCAAAAATGTCCCTCATCATATGCATAACAAGAACAAAATCAAAGGATGTTATGAAATCGTAAACTCTGTCAGCTTCACTTCTTTGAGTTGATGTATTTCCATAATTGATAACATCAATTAGGACAGAGCAAATGTCCTCATATTCTGTGAATAAGCTACAGATAGAACTAAAATGAGACCCCTATCTTGTAGTCCTTGGCTGTTTTAAGGTGCCAATCTGATTCTGACCCCTACCAGTCTCAAGTTCATCAATAGCAATCAATTCAACAATTCTAGCAGCTCTAGCAACTCTAAGTTGGTCCACACGTTTGCAAGAAGATGAAATTAAATTTATAAGAAGAGATAAGTATGTAAAGAATTGTTCCACAGGAACTACCTCTTGAGATGTTGCTACCAATGCTAATTGCAATCGATGAGCAAAACAGTGAATATAATATGCATAGGGGCACTCCTGAATAAATAATGCTTGCAGTCCATTCCATTCTCCACGCATGTTACTAGCTCCATCATATCCTTGGCCACGAATGTTTTGCACACTAAGATTATGGCGAGAAAGGACATCACATATCTCCTTCTTCAAAGTCAAGGAATTGGTTTCGTGCACATGAACAATGTCAAAAAATCTCTCTCAAATATAGCCTTGCTTGTCCACAAATCTAAGAACAATAGCCATTTGCTCTCTTTTTTATCTATCTTGAGCCTCATCAACATGTATAGAAAATTTTGAATCACTAATCTCTTCTCGAATATACTTTTGTATCTTGCTTGACCAAATGGATAATATCTCCTTTTGGATCGTAGGAGAAGTATAAGATGCATTTTGAGGAGCATTATCAAGGACCACAGCAGCCACTTTTCATTATAAGAAGACACATGCTTGATCAACTCAATAAAATTACCTCGATTGTTAGAATCTAAACTTTCATCATGACCCCTAAAAGCCACCGCTTGAAATGCACACCATTTTGCAGCATCTATGGAAACTTGAAGTTGCAACCGATTTTTTGCAACCTGCTCAGAATTTTGCTTCTCAATAATTTTATCAAGATGTTGCAATGAGTTTCCCAAATCATGATAGCATTGCATTGTCACTTTGTGTGATGAGTTAGGATCTTTTCCAATGTGATTAAAAAAAGCACAATTTTTTCCATCATTTACCTTTTTCCATGATCTAAATCCACTAGTTGTGAAGGCCATTGATCCAAAACGGTCCGTTGGCTTGGAAAAAAGTGAGCAAGGAAGACAAAAGACAGCCTTCTTTGTTGGAAAAAATTCCAACCAATCTGGAAACAATTTATACCAAGAGAAAAGGAAACGTCGGCCCTTCTTGTCAACAACCATTGATTCAATCGGAAGCTCAGGTTAGTATGGCCCAAACTTAATATATGCTCTCCGTACCTCATCCCTTTGAAGCTCTAGATATTCCCAAATGGATTTTCGCTTTCCAGGATCATGTTCTATGAATGAAATATCAAACTCTAATGATTCAGCTCTACAAAATTTCTTTGTTTGATGCTTAGGAGAAGAATCACGAAGAGGACAAGGAGTTTCACCACTTCCACTTGGTTCTAGATGTCTTTTCTTGAAAAAAGAATCAATTGTCATGTTGGCCATTACCACTATATTTGCAACAAAACAATAACCTGTAATCGAAATAAAATTGATTGAGAAATGCTGGTTATGGCCTATAAAGATGGGAATTTGACCAATGCAAGAGACTGATTTCCCTAATTCCCTTACAAATTTTGGCCATTCAGCCTGACTGAAAAGCCCGGCCATCACCCAAGGAAGCCAACAGGATCCTCAAAATAAAATTAGTATGAAAATTGGAAAAGAAAACCAGTCTCAGAATCAACTAAAATAAATGCTTATCACCCGAATTCAGAAGACCAAGTACGAAAAACAATACAAGTCCCTCTCGAGCAATTCATCAAACAACTGGCGGGCAAACTTCTTACACCCACATTTCACTAAATAAATGCAATGTCAAACTAATCTGGTAAATGGTAATAGCTTAAAATTTCAGAGCTTTTGGTATATCCAGTTTCAAAGCCACGCATTTCAACTTTTGCAGAAAAATTTGGGTGAGAACTGAGGAGTTACAATTCTCTGCCATAGAGTATTAGCTTGTATTTGGAAATGAAAAAAAAAAAAAACTGGAGATCGAAGAGGGAATTGAAGTTGGGAGTTGAGAGTTGAGAGTTGAGGCTTTTCTGTAAGAAGGAAATAAGAGGTGCATTGGTGAAAAACGGCAATTGTGAAGTTCAGAAAATAGTAGGTAAGTTATTTGGACCAAGTCTGTTATTCTCCTTTAAGAAAATAGTGGCAATTCTCTGTTATTTGAACCAAGTCCAAATAACTTTCAAATATTATTGTTTGGGCCCTTGGGGGGGCAAAGTGAATTTTTTGATCAATTTTTGGGAGGGCAAAACATAATAATAAAAAATGTTTTACTTAGAAATTTTTTTTAACAATTGGAGAGGGGCGGTTGCCCCCCCCGGCCCCCCTTCCCTCCGCCTCTGAGAAGAGCCACTCTAAATTTTTTATTATTTTTATTATGCAAAGAGGAGGGTATTTGCTTCTAAAGTTTTTTAACTTGTTAAGTTGGTTTAATGATAAGATAAATTGTCTAAAAAATAATTTTAGGGGGTAAATTGATAATGAAACTATAGTTTATGGGAGTAAAGTGATAATCATTTTAAGGGTTAAACATGTCTTTTCACTTTAATTAACAAATTCCGTTAAGTTTGACCATTAGTCTTGAGGGTAAAGTGACTAAAAGATAATGTTAAGGAGCAAATTGATAGTGACACCAAACGTTTAGGGGGTAAGGTGATAATAATCCTATATAAAATTAACTCTAATTTATTATGGTGAATAACAATAATGATTTAGCCTAATTCCAAAACTCGAATGAAAAGTGTAGGCTCGTAATGCGGTATATCTAGTCCATCAACTGGTGTCTAAAATTGGTCAAGTTATAAAACAAAATGAGGGTCAAGGCATTAGGAATTAGATGTCGTGGATTCGATTATCATGTAATTATATTTATAGAAAAGTGATCGGTACGCTAATCTAAGTCACGGTTGCATGCGCTAGTTACAATTATTACACTGTTTTTTCATACAATTATATTATCGTGTTGTACATGTAAATTTTACTCTTTTTATTGGCAAAAAATATAAATTTTGCTTGTATAGACCAAATAATTATAAAAAGGCATAATTTCAGAAACCTTTCTCGAGGTTTCTGACAATTTCATCTAGTAACCTTAAGATTTTCAATATTACACTTACCTCCCTTGACCCTATAAAATGATCATAATAACCTTAATTTATTAATATTTTTCATACAATTAAATAATACGCTCCTAATCTTGTGCATAGGAATGCACCACACAATTAAATATTTAATAGAAACAAAAACAAGGTTTACTTTTAGAATAACTAATTATATCCTAAACATAATTCGAACATATTACAAATTAATTTTAACTTGACTTGAAAGATCTAAAGATGAATAGAAGGAGATGCAAGTTGAAGATTTAAATATAACGGGGCATATATTGGTACTCCAACATTTGAGAGATGGGATGTTATATTAATACAGTTAGTCAAATTTTTTAAATTTTACGGTACTCTTTTTTTCTTTTGTAACTTAGATTGAGATTTTAGGATTTTGGGACTGATGGTAGCGGTGGTCATGAAGATAGTGGTACTAATTTGAGATGTAAGAATATGAAGGTTTAGAATAGTAGAAAAAAGGGTTGAAAGTGGGTTTGAGGTTTTGTGCACATTCCATATTTTTTTTTATAGAATTTTGTAAGAAAATAAAATGAACTTTACAATTTCATAAGGGCAAATTGGGTTATTCATTCAAAATTTTGAGCATTGAATAGTTTTTGTTACCTGATATTGCCGTTTGTTTAAAAAAAGAGAATAGTTTTTGTTACCAAAATGATAAATTCAAGGGAGTTAAGTGCAATTTTTTAAATCTCAAGAGAACTAAGTGAAATTGTTAAAAATCTCGAGAGAGGTTTCTAAAATTATCCTCTATAAAAAATACAATAATTTAGGTAAGGATACACCTATTACAAGAAATACAATAACCGAACACAGCTGCACCTGCACAGGTATCCCTATTTCTACCATCTCCTCTTAGGGTAGCTGGATGTCTATTGTATCTTTTTTCGACAAACATGCTGAGCCATTCATGATGGTCGATAAATATTGATGGTCGGAGAATTTCAAATACCATATTGAATTTTGCGTTATTTTTTTCCTTCTTTTTGTTTTTTTTTCTCCTTTTAAATCAAGAACAAACAATTTGAAGGTAAACAGCCATGTAGAGAATCTCTCAATTGTTGGTGGAAACCATTCATGTTATCAGAAGTTGTCTTAAGCTTCGAATTATGCCATGTTTAGAGGGCTAGATGTCCAGCTCATATTCTGTATACTTGCTCCTTTATTTTTCTCGTAGCATTTCCACCTGAAACATTGGCCGCCTCTGCAGCTGATTTGATTTATTAAATACATGTTTCCCATCAAGACAAAATTGAATTCCCAATCTTTCCACATTGCAGCAGAATATGATCTAGAATCCAGCTATTCAAATGAACCTTTTCACATTGAACGTCGAAGTACATTTCAACTAAAGGCTTCAGTTGAGAACTTCCCCAGTCGGTCGACCAAATATGAATGCACAGCCAACTCTTCTTCCTTTTTGTTTTGTTTAGTCTGAATGCTATTTGGCAGAGTTTAGCAGAGACAACAGAGCATTTTTCATTTCACACACACACACAGAGTATATATATATATATATATATATATAATTTTTCATATATGTTATGCATCCAATCGTGATAGTATATATATTCATGAATCCAATCGTGATAGTGTATACACTGTCGATATATATAAGATTAATTATATATGTGTATACACACACACATATATTGGTTCTTCTTTTTATTTACCAAAGCAAAACTGTTCCCTTCCTTTTGTTTTTTGGTTTGCATCCTTAGTAATGCTGAGAAAGAGAGAGAGAGAGAGAGAGAGAGAGAGAGAGTTCAATTTTTTATTTAAAAAAAAAAGAAAAAATAAGAAAGAATCTAGTATACTTATTATTTTAAAATCACTTCTTATTCTTCCACCTACCACCCAATTCCAACACAAACAATCTTAAAGTAATAATAATATTGAATTCTTTTTTATTTTTCTGCTTTCAAAAATTGTGCTTTTGTATCCTTCTGTCCCATCTCTCTATCCCCTTTTTTTTTCATTCCCTTGACATTAGTAACAGTGAAAAAAAGAGGAGACAAATCCTTTTTCTTTTTTTTTTTTTGGGTACGCTTAGAGTGAAAAAAAAAGTGAAAGTTGATAGGTTGCAATTCTATCATTTATTTTATAATTAATTTCTCCTATTACCTGACTTGATGTGGATTAATTGCGGGATTCTACTCACTTTTAGTATTTTGCATTTATTTCAGGGAATAGAACGAAAATATAATAACAGGTGCTAATTTGACAGAAAAAGAGTCCAAGGCACAGAGCTTATCCCGGGGGCATTATTGGCAAAGGAAGACTTTTGCCCATTTTGGTAATTTCAAAAGAAGAGAGCAGGGCAGAGGCCTCTATTTTACTGGAGGCTGGAGCGCCGCACAAGGTGTGCTTCTTCTTCCTTCGGAGGCTCCGTCCTCTCCGCAAGGGGGCTGCCGCACACAGTAGCCATTAGAATAGGAGCAATTGATATATGGCAGAGAATGAGCACTAGCACCAGGGAGTTGCCTTTGTTGACTTTTCTTCCCTTTTAGTTCTTAGTAGTTGTTTTACCTTCCTCGTACGTAGGACCTTTAGCATAGTTTTCCTTTTGACTTTTCCCTTGAGTCTTGGGTGGATGTCTCCTGCGCATGTCAGGAGCAATTGAAGGTCTTGGTCACTTTCTATATTCTTCCATCAACTGAGCGAACTGAGCTCCCTTGGTCAAGGACAATGGCTGCGGCTTCCTCTCCAACTTTGCGTGGGATTTGTTCACCAGGAATGAACTAATTTTTCTTTTCTAGTCAAGGAACAACGGAGGTCTTGGTTGGCCTAAATTTGTGAGATCGATTTAATTTTATCTTTTTCTCTTATTTATTGGTATTGGCATATTCTTTGATTGCAGTGCTTATGGTTATTTAATTAATTGATTGTCTTGGATCCGGATAATTAATCAATTTAATAATCTATTGTCAATTGAGGGATTGAATCCGTAATTGTTTAATTGCCTCAAAATAGTGACAACTGGCATAATTAGACTTGTGTCAGGGGAATACGCGGGCTAATCTAAAATAACCCTGGTAGTGCGTTATTTGATTAGAATAGGGCTCCTCTAATACGTAAGGCAATTGGGAAATTAAATTCTATGGGCGTACCTAGGATTATTTCTCAATTAGAGCAGTGATTAACGGGCGTACCTTAATCATCGACACAGTAAGGAGGGGTTGACTGTCTTCGCTTGTTTGGCAGTTATAACCTATTTATTGATAAATAATTGGAATTGCCTTTGCTTATCGATGATCAATTAGGTGAACCATTGCTGAAGTTATTCCTTGGCTAGATCCTTTGATTTTGGTA